AGAAACCGAATCTGTGCCCCTGAAAACATATTTTTGACACCAAACACTACTACTTAATCGAAATAAGCACTTCGTCCGATTTTCCCGCCAAAATTGGCCGCCATCTTGGAAATAAGTGATCGAAAAAAATCTGAAATATTTTCACGACCCCTGCCAATATTAATACTTTGCCAAATCACAGTTGATATGTCGATAACATTATAAATAAGGTAAAAATAAAAAAAAAATAAGTTGAATATTATCGCAAAATGGCTACCCTCAAATAACGGCCTCCTATACTATGAAGACCCTCTCAGAAAAAATGTCAACATTGGTTTTTTTATCATTAATTATCAAAACCTTCGAAATAAAGCTTATTCCACGATTTCTACCCGAAAAGCCGACGGATGGTAATTATGTAACAAACCCAATCGGACTATTTATTTTAATTTTACTTTTCTCTTAAAGATCATCACCAACCTATGGTACATGGCTAAGGATGAACAGCAGTGGGATAATCCGGACGTATTTAATCCGGACAGATTTTTAGATGACGACAGAAAGTTGGTTCCGGCTAATCACCAGCTACGGCAACAGTAAGTGCAGTTTGATTTTGTTTTAGGTAGCTAAGTCTTTAACCCAATATAACCCAAAAGTCTTCGATATTGAGGGGGGGGTGGGTGGGTGGCTGAATGGTTAGCTTGTGCGCGCTGTATCATAAAGTCTGTCATTGAGTCAACTGGCGTGGTTTCGATTCCCCGGTTGTACGTGACAAGGAGAAGGGTGGCCTGTCCAACCTCGTGGATTTTCTCCGGGCCCTCCGGTTTCCTCCCACTGCTAAAGAGCCCTACGTGCAAGCGAATAATGGAAATTAAATTGAACCATATGGTAGTCCCGAAATGACCTAGTTTGTGTCAAGTGGGCGTAAAAACGGAAAGGATTAAATGTAAATCAGTTTACATGCATTCATATTACATTATTATATGCGTTGCTACCCATTTGTGACAATTTCTATGTCCCAAATATTAGCTCCCGATTTAGCTCCTTTAAAGTCAGTGTCCATTTTTTCTCTGGGTGAACAGAAGATACATAATGACGCTATAGCTTCTTGAAACAACGTTTAGAAACAATACAGATGACACTGTTCAAATGCTACCAAACCTTTCAGTATGGCTGAAAGATATCGATAAAATTTGTCGAAAGTAACAGTCGTGCTTCTGTTCTTACCATTTTACCATTTACAAGCACAATTTACTGTTCTGCTCCGACTGGGCTAATGAAGTCGAGCATACGCCATACAGTGTACTATAATGTGTATTTTGCCCAGACAGCGGTGCTACCGCCTACCAATCTTTAATTTAGTATAACGTTTGAATTGTTGCGCCTGGAAATATGATTCGAATAACTAGATTCTATTGTTTAGTATATAGAAATAGATTGGTCATATCCTGTAAGAAAGTATTAATGGAAGAAAAATAAACCACATTAACCACATTGAACGGAAAAATGCCATTTAATGAATATATTCACTGATGTTTGTTCCCTTTGTTTACAGACTAATGCCATTTGGAGTTGGAAGAAGATTTTGTGTCGGTGAATCGTTTGCTAAATCACGTATATTTCTATATGTGACCTCATTGCTTCAGAAGTTTAACTTCCGACCAGATGGCAACCCACTGGCACCAGAAGACTCCAAACTATGGACATTAAATACTGCCATGCATCCCCCATTTCTGAAATGCATCATTGAACAACGCTAATTATCTGATTAAAAAACACAAATCCTAAACGAAATATATTGTACACAGGCCCTTCTTACTAGTGTCTGGCTTTTATTTTAATCCCTTCAAGGGCATGTCTTATTGTAATCGAATCAATTGTCATTTAATAATTTTTTTTTAAAAGAGTCTATAATTTGCACGCTTTTAAAATTTGCATCAGATTGCAACGCAAATAACATAATGATTGTACAGAAGCCCTTCTTACTATTGCTTGGCTTTTATTTTAATCCCTTTTAATCCCTTCAATAACTAATTGTAATCGAATCTGTCATGTAATAAATTTATATTTTTTTAAATAAAGAGTCTATAATTTGCCGTTGATATGCATAGGCTATTTTATTTAAGGGGTGGGGGGGGGGTATAAAAAAAACCCTATAAACCTACAGCTTCTAAATCAGCTAATCTGTCACAAAGAAAAGTCATATGTTCTTCTGTTGTTCTGGTGAAAGAAGCAATGACACATACGAGGCATATTTTAAAAGATATGCAATCATAATGGACCAGGAAGCCACGGGGACTCAGTGAGTAAGACACTAGCGCAGAACTCCCGATGTTCGCTAACGGTCAAATAAAAATATCGTAGAGATTCCTTGTCAGTTGTGAAGGAGAGATGGCCGGGTGGGTAAAAACAGGAGGCCTGTTGTAGGCCTACACATTAGCGTGCATGTAAAATATCCCTTGGCAGTTGGAATTCGATATAGAAGTAGGCCATAGCGCCTCTGTAGGGCAAAAGTTCTCGCATAGCACGCTACATGGCGTATGTCCGTCTTCAATATCCCAGTTGGAGCAGAACAGTAGAAATTAAGAACTATTTTTGGACTGATCTTCCTATTAGAAATTAAAGATGCATTATGTAAGATTCAGATAAAGAGTTGACAGGTCTCGCTATAATAGTCAAGAACTAGATGGTGGAAAGGGAATATCTTGAAAGTTTCAGTCAAATTCCTTCGTTCTGAACGAAGTTCTAGCTGTTTGGAGAATATAGCGAAGTCTCGATTGTCATTGCTACCGTTGTAACGATAAAGCCTAGATTATCCATTTGTAAATTAAATTATTAACTGTCGATCTGGTTTCAAACCAAGATCGAGCATCCGATTGTGTAGGGAGTTAATTATGTTAATAAATGTCTAATTAGTGAATTATATAACATTGGAAGCCAAAAGAACGACATGGAGAGAGAGAAAGAAATGGGGTTTAACGTCCACTCGACACAAACCAGGTTATTTCGGTACTAACACATGGTTGAATTTTATTTCAATAATTCGCTTGTACGTAGGGGTCATTCACAGTGGGAGGAAACTGGAGGACCTGGGAAATTGTGGGCGAGGTGCATGTACTTGACTAGTACTGATGGTGATCTTGGTAGATATCTGCAACCATGCTGTAATAGAACTAAGCTCAGCTCCTCGATGCATACGTACGCGACGCGAAAATCTGCCCAAACTCTAAAACTACACTTACGTAGAGACGTGATACGGGTGGGAAAAATTCCAATTGCCAAAAGTCTCTAATCATAGAATCAAACATATCCTGCCCCAAACCATGAACAATCAAATTGTTTATTTCTGCTTAGCTATAGTGGAAAATGTTAATCATCGAACTCCGTCCAAATGTTCACATAATAGACATTTACACCAAGTATGGACATTCTACTCCAATGAAACACTTACACTGAAACGTTCCCATTACTTTTGGATTAGGCCGAGTTTTTCACCGGTGGAAAACGGGCCTAAGCTGAAAATTCTATTAAGGAACTTATAGTCGAGGTATTGACGTGGCCTACTGAAACTATATTCGCATTTAAAAACACGGTTATCGTTTACCAAAGCCTCAATAAATCAAATTGTTTATCTTTGTGTATCCTAAGTGGGAAATGTTCATCATCGAACCTAGAAATGGTTCCACTACTCATGTCTTCCGCCTTACTCCAGCCACAGTAGTGGCTCGTCCTACGGAGTTCCTTTGCGCACGTTTTTTTAGTCAAATGACTACAAAGCCTCAATAAATCAAATTGTTTATCTTTGCTTATCCTTAGTAGGAAATGTTCATCATCGAACCCAGTCAAAACATTTATCTAATCAACACCTACGCCGACTTTGAAATTCTACCTCAATTGGAGGGGGTGTAACTGTTTTCCAGTTAGCCTAAGCCGGAATGTGCTCGTCATGGAACTCCGTCAAGGCAATGGCCTACTTAACACCCAAACCCAGGAGCCAGTAGCGGCGCCAGCCGTCGGTGATTGCTGGGGGGGGGGGGCAAAGCTGGGGCAAAGTCCAAGGTTAAGGGGGCAAAGGCACGAGCTTCAACTAGGGGTAGAGGGCCTCCCCCAGAAAATTTTGAAAAACAGGTTGCCGGAAATGCAGCCTGGCAGTATTTCAGGCACTGATCGATGAGGTAAAGTGTCAAACGAACGGACTTGCGAATCACGACGAAGCCCACTCACGAGCGTCAAAGTAGGGAGTCCTCCCCTAGAAAATTTTGAAAAATAGACTGCTGAAAATGCTGTCTTAAATATTCTGTCAGGCACCGATGGTCGAGATAAATAGATCTGACCAGATACCGTCCGTCGCCTGATCACTAGTTTATCCGACTAGAGAACAAAATGTCAAACGAACGGACTTGCGAACCTCAACGAATTCCCCTTGTGAGCGCCAAAGTAGCGAGTCCATTGGAGACCTCGCCAAGAAAATTTTGAAAAATAGACTGTCTGAAATGCTCTACAACATGCAAGTTTATGGCTGAGTGCCAGGAGCTAGCAAAGGTGCAATTAACATCTTAAGTACAAAAGGTTTGAGGAGTGGAAATAGCAGATGTACGTTGGGATGGCCTAGTGGTGTAGAGTGTCACGCTTCGACCTCTAGCTGGCCGGTCACCTCTGGCTTGCGGTTGTGGTTTCGATCCCTTGTGTGAGCGTATGTGGTTTGGAGACAGGGGCGCCTTCTCAACCTCGTGGGTTTACTCCGTTCACTCCCGTTTCCTCTCACAGGAAAGACCACTGTGCGTGCGCTAAGATAATAAAGATGTTTGTATGAATGTATTACTTGTGCGTTATCTATATGTAGTATGCATTATTAAATGCATATATATATATGTCTAAGTGTATACGTATGCATGCTGTCCTTGATAGATGATTATGCAATAAACATGTTATCTTATCTTATGTATAGGCGCAATATCTCTGTTCACTGTGTCACTGCATGGTACACCATACATCTGCGGCGAAAGTAGTCCATGAAACAATATGACCTTTAGTTTACAAAATATTTGAAAACTTTGAGGTCCTATAACAAAGTTTTGATAATTTTTTTTCAGATTTCAAGTCTTGGTGGTTGGAGTTTGATTAGCTGAGCAATTGTTAGTCTGACTTAGGAATTTGCTTCATTATTTGGTAAATATTTTTTTTCAAAGTCATTATTATGGATTTCCATCCATTTTTTTATAGCCCACATTATCATGTTGACGTATTATAACTATCGTTGGCCATGTCCCTCCGGACGTCCGTTCACAATTTTTTTGTGGACACTCTACAGGTAACAATTTTTATCCGATTTTGACGAAACTTGTAATATATAGAGAATCGCTAAGGAGTCTTTTTTGATATAAATAAATATCAACAAAAGTCGATAAATTAAAAAAATGAGGCTCTGCCGAAGTTTCTTTTTTACTTTATCGACGTGTTTTGATATTTTTTGATATCAAAAAAGACGAGTAGGAGATTTTATTTATCACCCAATCCTTTCTTACATGCAATAGATTTCACTTTTACTGAACCTGATTACATTACGGCTTAGTGATACATCATTTTTTGACAACAATTCAACCACTGCAAAGTCCTTTATATTGACCCAGTGTTTCCATCAAGGTAAAACGTCAACACTGAAATGTGGGCGTATGAAGACGGCTAAATCTATTTGTTAAGGCTAGCTCAATTTTTGTCAAGGTCGCTGAGATGTAAATAAGGTTAGGGCACGTGATTGTTGGCGAGATTGTAGGTTAGGGCTAGGGTAAGCATTGGGGCTAGGTCCAGGGTTAGGGTTAGGATTGGGATTTGCGCTAGCCCTGTTTACATCTCGTGACCCATGACGAAAAATTAAACTGGCCTTATCATTGGGCACTGACCTTGGTTAATGATAATTAACCAAAACATTATGCTGACGTGTCGTTAAACTACCAGTTGTTTTGCTGAATGGCTGCTTTTACATAAAAATATAAATATAACCATTTTATTTTTTATTTCCAGCTAGTGGTGAGCCGAGTGACAATAAACATGAGTTGGTTACTTATTATATTCGTAGTTTCGATTGCACTGTATATTTTCACATGGAGAAAAAACAACCATAAGGGCCCTTTACCTCCCGGGCCATCTTTGTTAGAGTCTTTCAAGATCATCTGGGGGATAATTACCAGGAACGACATACATATTGTTGGAGAGAAATTGGCTTTACGTTTTGGGGAGATACTGATCATACGTTTTTGGGGATTGAATATCGTGTTTGTCAACAGTGCTCGACTTTTACGAAAATTGTTGACAAACGCCAAGTACCGGGACATAACAAATGATCGACCACCTTCCTTTTTAAGAGATCATGTCGTGTATGGGGGGAAGGATATAATTTTTAGTGACTATAATGAATATCAAACAAATTTAAGAAAACTATTACACGGAGTCGTACAGCTATATGGTGAAGGTGTTCAAGATTTTGAGAATATGGTCAATACCGAAATTGAAAATCTACAAAAGAAACTGATGGTGGTTAAAACTGGTCAATCATTTGACATGGATGATGCTCTGAAAATATCAGTTATAAGAACACTTCATCTATTTGTAAGTCCTGATCTTTGTTTTTAAAAGTAGATTGTTTTTTTTTAAAATATCAATGGGAGAGAGAGAGAGAGAGAGAGAGAGAGAGCGCGCGCGAGAGAGAGAGAGAGAGGGCAGTATTATTTTGTGTTTTATTTGCCAACATTTTCATATGGACGTTGTCGTCGCCCCTGTCCATCCGCCCATCCACAATTTGTGGAGACGCTACAGGTCACAATTCTTATCCGATTTTGACGAAACCTAAAATATATAGGTTTATCTCCTGATGGTCGCGATTCCTTTCGATATTGGCATGTATCGTATCGAAACTTTATGGATTATGGCCCCTGATTTTACGAAACATCACGTTTTTAGCGTGTGGACACTCTAGATGCCACCGAAAGATACCGGTTCCTTTCGATATTCGCACATATCGGACCTCAACTTCCTTGATCATGGACCCCTGGAGGTCAAAAAATTTATCTGATTTAAAAAAATCCACTCAAATGTATCACCGTTACACCATAAATAGGACCGAAACTGCCGGACAAAATGGACGCTCTATCTACGCAAATAGTGTTAAAGTATGTAATATAAAGGTTTTGGACCCTCTAGAGGTCTGACGAAACTTATAACATGTGTGTATGTTCCACAGATCTCGGTTCCTTTCAATATGGGGGGTTGGATGGCTGAATGGTTAGCGTGCGCGCGCTGTATCATAAAGTCTGTCATTGAGTCGACTGGCGTGGTTTCGAATCCCCGGTAGTACGTGGCAAGGAGTAGGGTCGCCTGTCCAACATCGTGGGTTTTCTCCGGGGCCTCCGGTTTCCTCCCACTGCTAAAGACCCCTACGCGCAAGCGAATTATGTAAATAAAATTAAACCATATGTTAGTCCCGAAATGACCTACTTTGTGTCGAGTGGACGTTAAACCCCATTTCTCTCTCTCTCTCTCCTTTCAATATTCGTGCATATCGGACTGTAAGGTCACGGATTATGGCCCTGATTGTACGAAAAAATCACGATTTTAGCTTGTGGACCCTCTATAGGTAACAATGTTTATCCGATTTTACAAATTGTTTAAATATTATCATCATTACACCCTTGTGACGGTTGAGTTCGAATTTCGTGAAAACAGACATATAAACTGCCCGACAAAATGACCGCTGCTTGTACGCAAATAGTGTAAAAGTATGTAATACCAAGGTTGTGGACTCTCTAGAGGTCAGACTCTTTATCTGATTTTGAAGACACTTAAATGTATGTCTATATCCCAAAGATTCCGATTCTTTTTGATATTCGCGCATATAGGACCATAACTTCCTGGATTATGTCCCTTGATTGTACGAAAAATCTCCTTTTTCTAGCTTGTTTTCTGTCCATCTCTTGCAAAATGTGTGCATATCTTGCATGGCAACCGCTTGTCTATTTTATTTTTTGTTTGCTTCTTTTAATTCAATGAAGATATAACACCGACTGTTTAAATTTTAGAGGACTCTTGGTTTTATTGTCCATCGTGGTCCTGAAGCAACGAATGCAAGTTTTACAACAACTGAACTTTGCTAGATTACTTTGCTACATTTTCTTCGTTTACTGCAGGAACGTGAACAGTCTAGAAGTTGTGACACTAACACACTCAAATCAAATATAGCGACCTATACGGAAACCTTGACATTGAACTAGTCTTGAACTTTGCAACTCGATTATCACAGGTGGACATTTTAGTTGGAAATCTCGAGACTTGGTATTCGCGATGATTGCGGAATCTGATGGGTGAGCACACAATCGAAATTAGTGCTGAAATATATTACGTGAAGGCCTTGATATGATGCACGGGTTACAGCGAGATCAAGTCGTCTATTGAAGATGATTGTCCATTTCCTACACCATAAATCATTAGCGAACGCCTCTAATGAAGAAATGAAGAACTTGAGCGGTACCAGATGAGACTTAATTTAGCATGCATTGTGCCATTGTTACATTTGCCCCTTCTCATGGCATTTGGCTTATGTAACAAAATGAAAATATTAATAGGAATAGTCACGAATGTACCTTCAATATTTCAGTTAACAAACGAAACTTTAAAAGAAGATGTCCAAGCCGAATTCTGTTCTATTGTAGAAAATTACGATAAAGGTTTCACTAATATAGCCAGAGTTGACACCAATATGGCATTAACTTTGATTCCATGGCTGCGTCATTTACCGGGGTCATATGGTGAACTGGTTCAGGAATTACAGAAATACCAGAATAAGTTGTTTGACTTTTTGCTAAACCCATCAAAAAGAAAGGTAAATGTAATAAATTCGTGAGTCATGGCGTAACGTTATGTAAACATATTTGGTTCAATTTGGAGCTCTGTTTTAAGCGTACTGTTTTTGTAACGGCAGTTAGCTATTGGTTGACCAGTCATACTTTGGAACAGAAATTTACCTCCGTTAAAGCAGTGTATAGTGGGATTACGTATAATCAAACGAAACACTACGAGGAGTATGTCTTTTTAGAGTTTTAGAGGCATTTGTAACTGGATAGAGCAATAAGCTATAACACATACTTATGGAAGAAGAATTACTGATTTATTTAGGCGAAGTTTCGAAGAGTATTCTCTCATTTTCAGAATGTTCTTTTTATTCAGAAATGGAGACAAAATGGAAAATCTCTCCTCGGTACTTTATTAGCTGAACAAGAGACTAACGATCACAAACCTTATCTAGAGCAGCTGCCCATTATTTTAAGATTTGGTTTTAAACTTGCTGATTTAAACGATTTCCCAAGATTTATTGCCCCTGTGCCAAAATTTTGTAAATGCTGTGCAAGTCAGAGTGTTTGATCGGTTTTTTTTTTTCGAACTCGCTTATTTTGTTCTGCTAATCACAAGGGCGAAATTCAGACTCGCCCTTCCACTTGCTACGGATACCGATGACGTAAATGCGATTTATGGGACAAAGCTTAGATGATTAGGTTTCAAACTTTTCAGGATTGTTTGGTTAGTTATAAAGAGGATTCATGATGAGCCATCAATGTTATTGAAGACATGTGAGTTTATATTTATTGTCGGACAACGCTATGTTTATATTATTCAGAAGTTAAAGTTCGTCGAGGAATTTTATTTAAATTTTTACTTTTCTCTTAAAGATCATCACCAACCTATGGTACATGGCTAAAGATGAACAGCAGTGGGATAATCCGGACGTATTTAATCCGGACAGATTTTTAGATGAAGACAGAAAGTTTGTTCCGGCTACTCACCAGCTACGGCAACAGTAAGTGCAGTATCACTTTTTTTAAAAGTAGCTAAGTCTTTATCTCAATATCACCCAAAGTCTTCCACATTGAAAACAAATTTTATTTTTCAATTTAAATCAACGTTGATGTTATGATCTTACCGAGAAAAGTTGGGCTTCTGATATCAAATATTTAAGACAAAATAAACATTTTACCATGGGTACACGAATCGTGTACCATAATGCGTTTCAGCGCCATTTGTAACAAGGGACTCGATGAACGAGGTTAGACATATTCCACATGTCATGTCAATCTCGAGAGCATCCGCAATAAATACCATCGGTGTAGGCTGGAATAACCAGACGAAGAGGTTGCCATTCGGTTGAGACTTCTGGCGTATTTCGCCGAACATAACTGATTTGAAAGTAGACTAAAAACGGAAATGATTGAATGTAAATCAGTTTATATACATTGATATTACATCATTATGCGTTTCGAACCATTTTTGTCAATTTCTAAGTTCCAAATATTAGCGATTTAGCTCGTTTAAATATGATTCAAGCATAATATTTTATATAAGATTTCACAATAAAAGAGATCAAGTGACTGTCGATTATACACAGACATGTTTTAAAGTCAGTAACCCATCATTTTCTCTGGGTGAACAGAAGATACATAATGACGCTAGCTTCTTGAAACAACGTTTAGAAACAATACAGATGACACTGTTCAAGTGCTGCCAGACCTTTCAATATGGCTGAAAGATATCGATAAAATTTGTCGAAAGTAACAGTCGTGCTTCTATTCTTACCATTTACAAGCACAATCTTTAATTTGAAATGAAATGAAATGAAATAGGGTTTAACGTCCTACTGTGTGTGTGTGTGAGAGAGAGAGAGGGGGGGGGGGAGAGAGAGAGAGATTACGTTTAACGTCTACTCGACACAAACTATGTCATTTCGGGACTAACATATGGTTCAATTTTATTTCAATAATTCGCTTGCGCGTAGGGGTCTTTAGCAGTGGGAGGAAACCGGAGGACCCGGAAAAAACCCCACGAGGTTGGACAGGCGACCCTACTTCTTCTCACGTACAACCGGGGAATCGAAACCATGCCAGTTGACTCAAAGACAGACCTTATGATACAGCGCGGACGTGCTAACCATTCGGTCATCACCCCCCCCCCCCCACCCCACGTCCTACTGTTCTTCTCCGAATTAATGGTGACGGGAATACGCCATACAGTGTCATAATATGAGGAAAACTGTGCCTGCACAGCGGCGCTAGAGCCCACCGAACTTTAATTTAGTATAACATTTGAATTGTTGGGCTTGGAAATTTGATTCGAATAGCAAGATCCTATTGTTTAGAATATAGAAATAGATTGATCATATTCTTTAGGAAAGTATTAATGGAAGAAAAATAAACCGCATTGAATGAAAAAATGCTATTTAATGAATATATTCACTGATGTTTGTTTCCTTTTGTTACAGACTTATGCCATTTGGAGTTGGAAGAAGAATTTGTGTCGGTGAATCGTTTGCTAAATCACGTATATTTCTATATGTGACGTCATTGCTTCAGAAGTTTAACTTCCGACCAGATGGTAACCCACTGGCACCAGAAGACTCCAAACTATGGGCATCAAATGGTGTCATGCATCCCCCATTCCTGAAATGCATCATTGAACAACGCAAACAACCTGATGAAAAAACACAAATCCTTTTTCGTTTCGTTTTTTATAGTTCAAAATTTCGTTTTATATGTCTGTACTACGACATATATTTTAATCCCTTCAAGGGCCTGTCTAATTGTAATCGAATCTACTGTCATTTAATAAAAAAATTTAAAACAAAAAGAATCTATAATTTGCTTTTGATATGCATAGGCTATTTTATTTAGGGGGTGGGGGCAGCTTCTAAATCAGCTAATCTGTCACAAAGAAACTCATATTTACTTGTGTCGTTCTGGTGAAACCAGGAAGCCACGGTGACTCAGCGAGTAAGACACTAGCGCAGAACTCCCGATGTTCGCTAACGGTCAAATAAAAATATCGTAGAGATTCCTTGTCAGTGTTCCAGGCCTGGTGGGTAAAAACAGAAGGTCCCTTGTAGGCCTACACATTAGCGTGCACGTGAAATATTCATTGGCAGTTGGAATTCGATATAAAAGCAGGCCATAGCGCCTCTATACGGGCAAAAGTTCTCCCATAGCACACTACATGGCGTATGTCCGTCTTCAATATAACAGTTGGGGCAGAACAGTAGAAATTGAGAACCATTTTTGTACTAATATTCCTATTAGAGATTAAAGATGCATTATGTAAGATTTAGATAAAGAGCTGACAGTTCTCGCTATAACAGTTAAGAACTAGATAATGGAAAGGGAATATCCTGAAAGTTTCGGTCAAATTCCATGGTTCTGAACGAAGTTACAGCTGTTTAAAGAATATAGTGAAGTCTCGATTGTCATTGCTACCGTTGTTACGATAATAAAGCCTAGATTATCCATTTGTAAATTAAATTATTAACTGTCGATCTGGTTTCAAACCAAGATTGAGCATCCGATGGTGTAGGGAGTTGATTATGTTAATAAATGTCTAATTAGTGATTTATATAACATTGGAAGCCAAACGAACGACATGGAGAGAGAGAAAGAAATGGGGTTTAACGTCCACTTGACACAAACCAGGTTATTTCGGTACTAACACATGGTTCAATTTTATTTCAATAATTCGCTTGTACGTAGGGGTCATTCACAGTGGGAGGAAACTGGAGGACACGGGAAATTGTGGGCGAGGTGCATGTACTTGACTAGTACTGATGGTGATCTTGGTAGATATCTGCAACCATGCTGTAATAGAACTAAGCTCAAATAAGCCAAAATTCTAAAACTAAACTTACGTAGATACGTGATACGGGTGGGAAAAATTCCAATTGCCAAAAGTCTCTAATCATAGAAACATATCCTACCACAAAGCATGAACAATCAAATTGTTTATTTCTGCTTAGCTATAGTGGAAAATGTTAATCATCGAACTCCGTCCAAACTTTCACATAATAGACATTTACACCAAGTATGGACATTCTACTCCAATGAAACACTTACACTGAAACGTTCCCATTACTTTTGCATTAGGCCGAGTTTTTCACCGGTGGAAAACGGGCCTAAGCCTAAGCTGAAAATTCTATTAAGGAACTTATAGTCGTGTTATTGATTTTGCCTACTGAAACCATATTCGCATTTAAAAACACGGTTATCGTTTACCAAAGCCTCAATCAATCAAATTGTTTATCTTTGTGTATCCTAAGTGGGAAATGTTCATCATCGAACCTAGAAATGGTTCCACTACTGATGTCTTCCGCCTTACTCCAGCCACAGTAGTGGCTGGTCCTACGGAGTTCCTTTGCGCAAGTTTTTTTAGTCAAATGACTACAAAGCCTCAATAAATCAAATTGTTTATCTTTGCTTATCCTTAGTAGGAAATGTTCATCATCGAACCCAGTCAAAACATTTATCTAATCAACACCTACGCCGACTTTGAACATTCTACCTCAATTGGAGGGGGTGTAACTGTTTTCCAATGTCCCAAATGAACGTACCCACTTAGCGCTATTATGCTACTTAGCCTAAGCCGGAATGTGCTCGTCATGGAACTCCGTCAAGGCAATGGCCTACTTAACACCCAAACCCAGGAGCCAGTGGCGGCGCCAACCGTCGGTGATTGGGGGGGGGGGGCAAAGCTGGGGCAAAGTCCAAGGTTAAGGGGGCAAAGGCACGAGCTTCAACTAGGGGTAGAGGGCCTCCCCCAGAAAAATTTGAAAAACAGGTTGCCGGAAATGCAGCCTGGCAGTATTTCAGGCACTGATCGATGAGGTAAAGTGTCAAACGAACGGACTTGCGAATCACGACGAAGCCCACTCACGAGCGTCAAAGTAGGGAGTCCTCCCCTAGAAAATTTTGAAAAATAGACTGCTGAAAATGCTGTCTTAAATATTCTGTCAGGCACCGATGGTCGAGATAAATAGATACACTGAAAAAAAACTTGTGTTGAAACAACACAAACTTGTGTTATTTTCAACACAAGTTAGGTGTCTCTATTTAACAACACAATCTTGTGTTAAATGTTGAAACAACACAAAACTTGTGTTAAATGTTGAAACAACACAAAACTTGTGTTAAATGTTGAAACAACACAAAACTTGTGTGAAAATCTACACATTATTTGTGTTGAAATTTCTGAAACTTGTTTGTGTTGAAATTTCTGAAACTTGTGTTGAAATTTCTGAAACTTGTGTTGAAATTTCTGAAACTTGTGTTGAAATTTCTGAAACTCGTGTTGTTTCGTACAAACTTGTGTATAACAAAAAATTGTGTTGTATTTTACCAATTTATATCCAGTATAACAACCTTTCGAATGCAACCCCTACCATTCGTTCTGTTTAAACTGTAATTATTGATAAATGACATAATAATTTTGTTTGTTAAATTATTATTTATTCAATAAATGATATGAAAAAATAAATTAATGCCTAATTAATACCAATACAGACATCTCGAAGGTTAATAAACAAAGTTAATTCCAATACTAATAAAATTGTGTTATACAATGAAAAAATACCCACCCCCCATTCCCAATTATTAAATAAAAAGTAGCTATTTAAATTGAAAAATAAAGCACCGAGACATTTGGAATATTAATCAAAAAAGTTAATTTCAATACTAATAAAATTGTGTTCAATAATAACAATATCCCCCCCACCCCTCAAAAAAAGCTATTTAATTTTTTTTTACAATTAACCTTAAAAAGAACTGAGAATATAATATATATGTTCACAATATCCCTACCCCATGGTCCCAAAACATACATTTTAAATATATCTAAATTTAATATCAACCAAACCAAGCACTAAAGACATTAATAATGCACTAAATTGAAATACTTTTAAGAAAAAATAGTCCCTTTAACAGATTAGGAATTCAAAATTTTCTACAGTATATAAATGGGAACTAATAGATAAAGCACAGGCAAATAATTATAGATAGATAAAATAAATATAGCATAAAAATCAAACAAAATGGAGAAAATTAAAAATTTGTAAAACAAAAATTGATTAATTAATAAAACCATTTTATATAAAAGAGGCATTAACATTCGAAATGTTCACTAAATGTTTAAAAATAAAGGTTGATTTCATCCTACAATAATACATTTTTATAATTATCGAATGTTTCTATTAATTATTGATGATCCCTCTATATTATTTCAAATTTTCAGGCCAAATCTTTAGTGTTTAGGATTACACTGCATTCTATATAATGAAACAATATTAGAGATGGTTTGGTATTTGACATTAAAAACAAAAATGTGATTAAAAAGGCAATGGTGACATATAACTTTTGGGTTTCCACAATAAGATCTGTAAAAGAATTTGATGACTTTATATTCAGAATTTTGAGTTGTTTTCTTTCTTTGGTATTAATATTCACTAAATAGATATAATTCTCCAAGGATGTTCAAGTGATTATTATAAATACACTTATCGACAAATGGGGTTTTGATGTGGATTTAACTTGGTACACCAGTCATGGGTATAGAGTTGAAAAGAGCATAATTTAACAATATATTATATTATTTTGAGACTCATATGTATGACTACATGCGAATGCAAGAGGGGGGGGGGGTATTTTAGTCAGGTAGCATTATTGCTTACTCATGTACACCAAAAACACGTCATCTCGCCTAAACAGATGTTTTACGCCAAAACGCTTCAACTTGATTGATTGCCATGTTTTTGGTGTAGATTTATATCTTTTCTTGGGCGCCGAATCGAACTACGGCTTTTAAAATGTTCAAAAATCGACGTAAATTGATTTTTTCAACGATAGTTGGTATACAACGATGAGCACATGAGTGAGTAGACTGTGGGAAAGTTACGACAACTCATTTCCAGGCGCCATTTTGGGTCCCAATTATGACGCCATAAAAGCTATGACGTCATGGCTTCATACAGGTTTACATACCAAAATTTGTTTTTTTCTTGCAGTATTAGACGTTGAGGGATAATATAACGTTTTACCCTAAAAAAAAATGCAAAAGAAACCAATGCAGTTTGGTTCAGTGATAAATATATCAAACAAAATCATACCCAAAATCGGGGAATTTTCTGAGAGCGATATCTCGTAATCAGTGTGTTTTACTATTTACTCGTTGGATTATAAATGATTTCTTTTTAAATTCCTCAAACACAGAGTGAGTGGTTATGCAAGCGAAATGTGCCGCCGAAAAATCGAATTTGACAAACGTCAAATTAAAAAAAAGAAGTATTTGTTATATGGTGCCGGGCGTTTCTTTCATAATGGCCGCCAAATTTGGTAATATTATTATTATTATTATTATTATTACAGCATATTTATAGCGCGCCCTTTCATAAAACATGTTCAGGGGCACTTTACAAAGTGACAATGTAATCATAAATAAACAACAAGATTATGGACATCTTAACAATTGTATACAGAGTCAGTTAAAAGCCTCATTAAATAAATGTGATTTAAGTTGTTTTTTTAAAAGAATATAGAGATGTACAAGATCTTAAACTAAATGGTAGATTATCCCATAAAACAGGTGCTTGATAACTAAAAGAGACTAGTTGAATAGTTTTGGGCTTTAAAAATAGTTTATCTGATGTACGTAATATTCGACCATTATATCGTGGTTATGTACGCGAAATGTGCGGAAATCGAATTTGACAAACATCAATTAAAGAAATGTATTTTCCATGTGGTGCCGGGCATTTCTTTTAAAAGGGCTACCGAATTTGGTAATACATGTATAAGGCAATTTAACAAAAAAAACATAAATTTGGTAGACTAAAAGGGCATCTCTTAAGATACGTAAGATATGACTTTTGCAATGTCCTTTATATGGTTTTCGATGTCTCTGAATTTGAAGATAAATTTTGAAAATACAAAATAGCAGCAACACCAATTGGCGGATATTAAATTAATCGTCATTTTTCCTGTTGGATATTAGATAGTGTCTCTTAAGCATGATGTACACTGTAGTTCGATGTACCCTGTAGTTCAGATACAGTCTCCAAACCGTGTTTACACTGACTGTAGTTTGGGTGTAGTTCGTCAAATGAAGATGAATTTTACGATACAAAAAAATGAATATATTGTAAACGCGCTTTAAATATCTGGATGCGATAGACTTCGTGATAAAAAATTCAAGGTACATTATATCATTGGCAATAATAAGATCCATTTTTAGTTTTTAGTTATACACTGATAAACACCAATAGATGTTTTCATGACAATAAATCATAAAATGTATTCAGCTCGACGTAAGACATAAATAGATACAGTTGGTTTAACTTGAATAGAAGTTTTAATTATCTATGCTGCATATATGAATACCTCAGGTGGAGATCGTAGAAGCCAGGGAGGTGGACCTAAAGGTAAAACCCTAACAGCCAGAAACTTGTCCTACGATACCACAGAAGAAAGTTTAAAGGATTGCTTCGAGGGAGCTATCAGTTGTCGAATCCCAACTTTCCCCGATACAGGAAAATCACGAGGGTTAGTGTCGTGTTTAGTCTTTTGTTTTGATGTATGTCATTAGTCATTCAAACGTCTGACCTGTTAAAAATATGTACTAATTGAATTAAACAGTTGTTTCGTAATTGAACTGAGCACAACAAAAATTTAAATGCCTGATGGTATCTTGTCGTTAAAGATGTTATGGCAGGTCTTTTTGTCTTCAAAATGTTAGATAAACTATTTAAACATTTATTCACATGACAAGCCTATAAGCAACTCTCTAGATTATCGGATGGCCGAGATTAAAATGGATATCGGATAGAAATTGTGTTCCTTAGAGGGTCTACAAGCTTAAACATGATTTTCCGTACAAATAAATGTGGCTCCCTCAGTTGTCTGTGTGTAATCTCTTCTAATACTGATAACAAGTTATGTGTAAAATAAGACAACTGATGTTTTTGGTTTTTTTTTAACAAATTTTCACAAGTTGATTTCCTTTATTTTGTTAATGTAGAATGGTAATGAACTGCTCTTTTCATTTTCTTTGTTTTATTTGTTTCGTTTGAATTTGATTTATCAGTTTAGTTTTTGATTGTTTAATTTTTGTTAATGAAGTTGATTCTTTTAAACTTCGTTTTTATTTTTGAACTCTACTCGGTGTAGGTGTTCATCAGGTAATACCTCGACTGAGTTCAATATAGAGATTAGCCGGTTGATTTGTTGGATATAAACCTTTGAATAATAGCGCCTAACAGGCAGCTGTGTTTAATTATGTTCTCCTGATTTTGATTGTTTTTGTGTGTTTGAAGTATATGTTTGTGATATGCGCTTAGAAACACTTCACGTGTAATGAAGCGCTATATAAATCGAACAATAATAATAATAATAATAATAATATATGCATATATCACCTTGCAGCTGAATCACATTACATATCTTTTTAGTTGATGTTCATATCGTCTTACGTATTTGTGAACATCAAGGTTAGTGCGACCCATTTGTGACAATTTCTAGTTCCCAAATATTAGCGATTTAGCTCCTTTAAAAGCGAATGCAAGTTAAATATGTTTAATCAGAGGCGGATTCAATGGGGGGCGCGAGGGGCGCCCCCCCCCCTAATTTTCAACAGTGCCCTTTTTTACGGCTGAAATTGCCTTTTCTCAGACTCAAATATGTCAGTTCCCAACCCGTTGTAGGGATCCCAAACACACCAGTCTGGGAAATAGCTCTTGGAATGGCTACAGATGCAAGGAAATGACGGATAATTTTCTTGGGGACCCCCCCCCCCCCCTCAGCGGCAAGCCCCGTCTCCGCGGTCAATGCCCTCATTTTGCAGCCCCCCCCCTTTTCAAAATTCCTAGATCCGCCCCTGGTTTAATAGTACTTTTATCTAGTGTATCTTTTATTTTGATTTTTCTTATAGAATAAGGGTATATAACAATAATGTGCGCTTCTTGTTGTATAATACTAATAATAGTATGTTCAGCTATACTTTTCGTTTAAAAAATGTATGTTTTATGTCCTATATACACTTATTCGCTGAAATCTATGACATCCAACAATATAATAGGTCATATAAATAGATAACGTCATATGAAATTCCTGGCTTCACAGTTGTCGCAACTTTATCTATACACGGCGTTGCGTCGACCAACCATGCAATGTGAAGTAGATGTCAATATGGTTATGTGCATAGGCGTACGAGCTGGGGGGGGGGGGGGGCTGGGGGCGGCGCCCCCCCCCCCCATTTTGGGAACCAAATGCTGGGAAAATTTGGGCACACAATTGTACTTTGTAAAAGTTGTATAAAAAAATATTGTGTTCTTGAATGTGTCCAATTTAACAGCGAATTTATTATTATTATGTAACATACTAAGAACCTAACTACATTTTTGGGGCACCAACCACCACCGCCCCCCAGTCAAAAATTTCCCCGTACGCCTATGGTTATGTGTAAGAATATTCAGTTCAATATATTCACGGTGTATGATTTTATTCATACTTCAATTTTAGTGAGTTACTTCTGCAAAGTTTTTAGAAAAAATTGCTATTAATTTGGCCAGTACTGTAATAGCAAGTGTATAAATATTTTCTGTTCAGTCTGTACAGTAACATATCTGAGAACCATATTATCATTTCTGCCCAAGGCTCCCTGTGATTTATAGTTAGCAGTGATACAAGGCAATTACCAATTTTCCATGCTCTTGGCCTGAAGAAATAAAATAATAAAAGTCAAGTTTTTATTATTATGCAAGTGGAAAAATACAATTCTTCATGGTATGATTTGAATAAATACAACTGATTTGAAGTTGGAATTATTATTTGTCTAAGATGACTGGGCATTTACAAATTGAAATAGCTACTCTTCATCAAGAAAATACATGAATATTTTTCCCAATCCACCTGGATTTTATTGTAGGTCTTTGTACGTGAAATAGCTTTATTTAACGTCCGCTTCCACCGAAGTGATATTGCAGAAAATTAACAAATTCGGATTCCCTTTTAAAGGAATTAGACTACACTATCGCTGGATTGTATTATATTCAAAATGGCGCCCAGAACACAAAACAAACATTGCAATTCAGGGCGGACTGGTGTCGAGGTTGTATCCTAAGAATGATTTTTTGAATATTTAATCAAACAGAACACAATTATGCACATGCAGTTATGATATAATATTAAATTAGCTTACCTCAAATACCTCGAAATATACTGTTTGGTCAGTTTGTCCGCCCGCCATATTTCTATTAGTCACACATCCTTCGGCCAATTAAAATGGACGTATATTTTGTTTTAACCGAAACGAAAAATTTGCGTTATAAATACATTGTATTAAAAAATACCAAAATCACAAACCTGATGTTCTTATTTTCTGAACAAACTTTTTTCACAACAATATCACTTTTTTTCGATACTAATGCTTAATAATACAGTTAACATTTGCTGTACCACAGGGTTTAATACCGCAAAATTACTTCAATAAATATTTCTTTCTTTGTTTTAAGAGTAATTCATTTTAATTGGTCATTTACAGGTAAGAATAAATTTCCAATTTCGATTAATGAACCAATTAAATTAAATAAAAAGATTAACTCGACTATTTCCACGCCCATTCAAACATTTTTTTAAAACGTAGATATAACACAATTGTTATTGTCTTTGATGTGTCAAGTTTATTGGGGCGATATCAATCAGACACTTCCAAATGCAGACATTGTAATAACCTGTCTCTGTATATTGTCTGAGACAAGATGTGAAAATAAACAAAGAGTAGAATCAGAATAATCTTTTATTATATCTAATTAAATAAATAGTTTATATTTAGATAATAATTGACTAAAACTTTGATCTCGTATATCAGTATACTGTTATAAAATACGTTGTTTTAAAAGAGATATTAAATGCATCGCACGATACATACATTGCGATTTCTACTTAATGTTTGTAATAATTAATATAATATCCTTTTAGATAATTAGAAATATTAAAAAATAAATCAAGTGAATTACTCGACATTCAAATTCAGGAAGAGTGGTTTTACATATAGGCTAGGCCAGATCCCTAATCCAGTTCCCCAATCCCATTCAGATTTTCTCAATAAATAAAAAACATAATGTGATAAAGGAACATAATAAATGTTATCTTTAATGTCGACGTAATTAATTATATGGAAAAAAAACCACATAAGATTTTATAAATGTACACAAGTTTGTGTTAAGACATTGAAAAGAACACAAACTTGTGTCATTGCAATGCAATACAACACAAACATGTGTTAAATATTTTTAACACAAGTTCTTGTGTTGAGATCCAACACAAGGGTTTTTTCAGTGTATGACCAGATACCGTCCGTCGCCTGATCACTAGTTTATCCGACTAGAGAACAAAATGTCGAACGAACGGACTTGCGAACCTCAACGAATTCCCCTTGTGAGCGCCAAAGTAGCGAGTCCATTGGAGACCTCGCCAAGAAAATTTTGAAAAATAGACTGTCGGAAATGCTCTACAACATGCAAGTTTATGGCTGAGTGCCAGGAGCTAGCAAAGGTGCAATTAACATCTTAAGTACAAAAGGTTTGAGGAGTGGAAATAGCAGATGTACGTTGGGATGGCCTAGTGGTGTAGAGTGTCACGCTTCGACCTCTAGCTGGCCGGTCACCTCTGGCTTGCGGTTGTGGTTTCGATCCCTTGTGTGAGCGTATGTGGTTTGGAGACAGGGGCGCCTTCTCAACCTCGTGGGTTTACTCCGGGTACTCCCGTTTCCTCTCACAGGAAAGACCACTGTGCGTGCGCTAAGATAATAAAGATGTTTGTATGAATGTATTACTTGTGCGTTATCTATATGTAGTATGCATTATTAAATGCATATATATATATATATGTCTAAGTGTATACGTATGCATGCTGTCCTTGATAGATGATTACGCAATAAACATGTTATCTTATCTTATGTATAGGCGCAATGTGTCACTGCATGGTACATCATACATCTGCGGCGAAAGTAGTCCATGAAACAATATGACCTTTAGTTTACAAAATATTTGAAAACTTTGAGGTCCTATAACAAAGTTTTGATAATTTTTTTTCAGATTTCAAGTCTTGGTGGTTGGAGTTTGATTAGCTGAGCAATTGTTAGTCTGACTTAGGAATTTGCTTCATTATTTGGTAAATATTTTATTTCAAAGTCATTATTATGGATTTCCATCCATTTTTTTATAGCCCACATTATCATGTGGACGTATTATAACTATCGTTGGCCATGTCCCTCCGGACGTCCGTTCACAATTTTTTTGTGGACACTCTACAGGTGACAATTTTTATCCGATTTTGACGAAACTTGTAATATATAGAGAATCGCTAAGGAGTCTTTTTTGATATAAATAAATATCAACAAAAGTCGATAAAATAAAAAAATGAGGCTCTGTCGAAGTTTCCTTTTTACTTTATCGACGTGTTTTGATATTTTTTAATATCAAAAAAGACGAGTAGGAGATTTTATTTATCACCCAATCCTTTCTTACATGCAATAGATTTCACTTTTACTGAACCTGACTACATTACGGCTTAGTGATACATCATTTTTTGACAACAATTCAACCACTGCAAAGTCCTTTATATTGACCCAGTGTTTCCATCAAGGTAAAACGTCAACACTGAAATGTGGGCGTATGAAGACGGCTAAATCTATTTGTTAAGGCTAGCTCAATTTTTGTCAAGGTCGCTGAGATGTAAATAAGGTTAGGGCACGTGATTGTTGGCGAGATTGTAGGTTAGGGCTAGGGTAAGCATTGGGGCTAGGTCCAGGGTTAGGGTTAGGATTGGGATTTGCGCTACCCCTGTTTACATCTCGTGACCTATGACGAAAAATTGAACTGGCCTTATCATTGGGCACTGACCTTGGTTGATGATAATTAACCAAAACATTATGCTGACGTGTCGTTAAACTACCAGTTGTTTTGCTGAATGGCTGCTTTTACATAAAAATATAAATATAACCATTTTATTTTTTATTTCCAGCTCGTGGTGAGCCGAGTGACAATAAACATGAGTTGGTTACTTATTATATTCGTGGTTTCGATTGCACTGTATATTTTCACAACATGGAGAAAAAACAACCATAAGGCTCCTTTACCTCCCGGGCCATCTTTGTTAGAGTCTTTCAAGATCATCTGGGGGATAATTACCAGGAACGACATACATATTGTTGGAGAGAAATTGGCTTTACGTTTTGGGGAGATACTGATCATACGTTTTTGGGGATTGAATATCGTGTTTGTCAACAGTGCTCGACTTTTACGAAAATTGTTGACAAACGCCAAGTACCGGGACATAACAAATGATCGACCACCTTCCTTTTTAAGAGATCATGTCGTGTATGGGGGGAAGGATATAATTTTTAGTGACTATAATGAATATCAAACAAATTTAAGAAAACTATTACACGGAGTCGTACAGCTATATGGTGAAGGTGTTCAAGATTTTGAGAATATGGTCAATACCGAAATTGAAAATCTACAAAAGAAACTGATGGTGGTTAAAACTGGTCAATCATTTGACATGGATGATGCTCTGAAAATATCAGTTATAAGAACACTTCATCTATTTGTAAGTCCTGATCTTTGTTTTTAAAAGTAGATTGGTTTTTTTTAAAATATCAATGGGAGAGAGAGAGAGAGAGAGAGAGAGAGCGAGAGAGAGGGAGAGAGAGAGAGAGAGAGAGAGGGCAGTATTATTTTGTGTTTTATTTGCCAACATTTTCATATGGACGTTGTCGTCGCCCCTGTCCGTCCGCCCATCCACAATTTGTTTGTGGAGACGCTACAGGTCACAATTCTTATCCGATTTTGACGAAACCTAAAATATATAGGTTTATCTCTTGATGGTCGCGATTCCTTTCGATATTGGCATGTATCGTATCGAAACTTTATGGATTATGGCCGCTGATTTTACGAAACATCTTGTTTTTAGCGTGTGGACACTCTAGATGTCACAATGTTTATCCAATTTAGATGAAACTTGAAATGTGTGTTTATAACCGAAAGATACCGGTTCCTTTCGATATTCGCACATATCGGACCTCAACTTCCTTGATCATGGACTCCTGGAGGTCAAAAAATTTATCTGATTTAAAAAAATCCACTCAAATGTATCGCCGTTACACCATAAATAGGACCGAAACTGCCGGACAAAATGGACGCTCTATCTACGCAAATAGTGTTAAAGTATGTAATATAAAGGTTTTGGACCCTCTAGAGGTCTGACGAAACTTATAACATGTGTTTATGTTCCACAGATCTCGGTTCCTTTCAATATGGGGGGTTGGATGGCTGAATGGTTAGCGTGCGCGCGCTGTATCATAAAGTCTGTCATTGAGTCGACTGGCGTGGTTTCGAATCCCCGGTAGTACGTGGCAAGGAGTAGGGTCGCCTGTCCAACATCGTGGGTTTTCTCCGGAGCCTCCGGTTTCCTCCCACTGCTAAAGACCCCTACGCGCAAGCGAATTATGTAAATAAAATTAAACCATATGTTAGTCCCGAAATGACCTACTTTGTGTCGAGTGGACGTTAAACCCATTTCTCTCTCTCTCCTTTCAATATTCGTGCATATCGGACTGTAAGGTCACGGATTATGGCCCTGATTGTACGAAAAAATCGCGATTTTAGCTTGTGGACCCTCTATAGGTAACAATGTTTATCCGATTTTACAAATTGTTTAAATATTATCATCATTACACCCTTGTGACGGTTGAGTTCGAATTTCGTGAAAACAGACATATAAACTGCCCGACAAAATGACCGCTGCTTGTACGCAAATTGTGTAAAAGTATGTAATACCAAGGTTGTGGACTCTCTAGAGGTCAGACTCTTTATCTGATTTTGAAGACACTTAAATGTATGTCTATATCCCAAAGATTCCGATTCCTTTTGATATTCGCGCATATTGGACCATAACTTCCTGGATTATGTCCCTTGATTGTACGAAAAATCTCCTTTTTCTAGCTTTTTTTCTGTCCATCTCTTGCAAAATGTGTGCATATCTTGCATGGCAACCGCTTGTCTATTTTGTTTTTTGTTTGCTTCTTTTAATTCAATGAAGATATAACACCGACTGTTTAAATTTTAGAGGACTCTTGGTTTTATTGTCCATCATGGTCCTGAAGCAATGAATGCAAGTTTTACAACAACTGAACTTTGCTAGATTACTTTGCTACATTTTCTTCGTTTACTGCAGGAACGTGAACAGTCTAGAAGTTGTGACACTAACACACTCAAATCAAATATAGCGACCTATACGGAAACCTTGACATTGAACTAGTCTTGAACTTTGCAACTCGATTATCACAGGTGGACATTTTAGTTGGAAAGCTCGAGACTTGGTATTCGCGATGATTGCGGAATCTGATGGGTGAGCACACAATCGAAATTAGTGCCGAAATATATTACGTGAAGGCCTTGATATGATGCACGGGTTACAGCGAGATCAAGTCGTCTATTGAAGATGATTGTCCATTTCCTACACCATAAATCATTAGCGAACGCCTCTAATGAAGAACTTGGGCGGTACCAGATGAGACTTAATTTAGCATGCATTGTGCCATTGTTACATTTGCCCCTTCTCATGGCATTTGGCTTATGTAACAAAATGAAAATATTAATAGGAATAGTCACGAATGTACCTTCAATATTTCAGTTAACAAACGAAGCTTTAAAAGAAGATGTCCAAGCCGAATTCTGTTCTATTGTAGAAAATTACGATAAAGGTTTCACTAATATAGCCAGAGTTGACACCAATATGGCATTAACTTTGATTCCATGGCTGCGTCATTTACCGGGGTCATGTGGTGAACTGGTTCAGGAATTACAGAAATACCAGAATAAGTTGATTGATTTTTTGCTAAACCCATCAAAAAGAAAGGTAAATGTAATAAATTCGTGAGTCATGGCGTAACGTTATGTAAACATATTTGGTTCAATTTGGAGCTCTGTTTTAAGCGTACTGTTTTTGTAACGGCAGTTAGCTATTGGTTGACCAGTCATACTTTGGAACAGAAATTTACCTCCGTTAAAGCAGTGTATAGTGGGATTACGTATAATCAAACGAAACACTACGAGGAGTATGTCTTTTTAGAGTTTTAGAGGCATTTGTAACTGGATAGAGCAATAAGCTATAACACATACTTATGGAAGAAGAATTACTGATTTATTTAGGCGAAGTTTCGAAGAGTATTCTCTCATTTTCAGAATGTTCTTTTTATTCAGAAATGGAGACAAAATGGAAAATCTCTCCTCGGTACTTTATTAGCTGAACAAGAGACTAACGATCAGATTACAGAGGAGTCTGTTAAAGGAGTTATCATTGATACGGTTGTGGCTGGCTTTGTAACAACTAGTGGTTTCCTTGGTGGATTTTTCCTGCTTATGCTTCACCACCCAGACATACAGCGACGAATACAGGAAGAATTGGATAAGGTTCTTGCAGGAAGACAGCCAAGCCTTGGTGAAAGATCAAGTTTGCATTACACCAATGCGGCAATTCTGGAATGTCTCAGATACATCCGCCATGTTCCCCATGGTGCCGCACACATGAACAGAGAAGAAATAGAAATTGAAGGATATAGGATCCCTGCCAAATCAACGGTAGGCCTAAGTTTTGTGATACTATACAAATAATAGAAATTTAGACACAAAAACCCAAACTGTTTGTCCATCACACGATGACTGTCGTTGAGTCCGGTGGAGTGACTTATTCCAGAAAGAGCAAGCGGGACCTTCTGATATAATTAGTATATTATCACAAACCTTATCTAGAGCAGCTGCCCATTATTTTAAGATTTGGTTTTAAACTTGCTGATTTAAACGATTTCCCAAGATTCATTGCCCCTGTGCCAAAATTTTTGTAAATGCTGTGCAAGTCAGAGTGTTTGATCGGTTTTTTTTTCGAACTCGCTTATTTTGTTCTGCTAATCACAAGGGCGAAATTCAGACTCGCCCTTCCACTTGCTACGGATACCGATGACGTAAATGCGATTTATGGGACAAAGCTTAGATGATTAGGTTTCAAACTTTTCAGGATTGTTTGGTTAGTTATAAAGAGGATTCATGATGAGCCATCAATGTTATTGAAGACATGTGAGTTTATATTTATTGTCGGACAACGCTATGTTTATATTATTAAGAAGTTAAAGTTCGTCGAGGAATTTTATTTAAATTTTTACTTTTCTCTTAAAGATCATCACCAACCTATGGTACATGGCTAAAGATGAACAGCAGTGGGATAATCCGGACGTATTTAATCCGGACAGATTTTTAGATGAAGACAGAAAGTTTGTTCCGGTTACTCACCAGCTACGGCAACAGTAAGTGCAGTATCACTTTTTTTAAAAGTAGCTAAGTCTTTAACTCAATATCACCCAAAGTCTTCCACATTGAAAACAAATATTATTTTTCAATTTAAATCAACGTTGATGTTATGATCTTACCGAGAAAAGATGGGCTTCTGATATCAAATATTTAAGACAAAATAAACATTTTACCATGGGTACACGAATCGTGTACCATAATGCGTTTCAGCGCCATTTGTAACAAGGGACTCGATGAACGAGGCTAGACATATTCCACAAGTCATGTCAAACGGTGACGCTATATTCCTATCTCGAGAGCATCCGCAATCAATACCATCGGTGTAGGCTGGAATAACCAGACGAAGAGGTTGCCATTCGGTTGAGACGTCTGGCGTATTTCGCCGAACATAACTGATTTGAAAGTAGACTAAAAACGGAAATGATTGAATGTAAATCAGTTTATATACATTGATATTACATCATTATGCGTTTCGAACCATTTTTGTCAATTTCTAAGTTCCAAATATTAGCGATTTAGCTCGTTTAAATATGATTCAAGCATAATATTTTATATAAGATTTCACGATAAAAGAGATCAAGTGACTGTCGATTATACACAGACATGTTTTAAAGTCAGTAACCCATCATTTTCCCTGGGTGAACAGAAGATACATAATGACGCTAGCTTCTTGAAACAACGTTTAGAAACAATACAGATGACACTGTTCAAGTGCTGCCAGACCTTTCAATATGGCTGAAAGATATCGATAAAATTTGTCGAAAGTAACAGTCGTGCTTCTATTCTTACCATTTACAAGCACAATCTTTAATTTGAAATGAAATGAAATGAAATAGGGTTTAACGTCCTACTGTGTGTGTGTGTGAGAGAGAGAGAGAGAGAGAGAGAGGGGGAAGGGAGAGGGAGAGATTACGTTTAACGTCTACTCGACACAAACTATGTCATTTCGGGACTAACATATGGTTCAATTTTATTTCAATAATTCGCTTGCGCGTAGGGGTCTTTAGCAGTGGGAGGAAACCGGAGGACCCGGAAAAAACCCCACGAGGTTGGACAGGCGACCCTACTTCTTGTCACGTACAACCGGGGAATCGAAACCATGCCAGTTGACTCAAAGACAGACCTTATGATACAGCGCGGACGTGCTAACCATTCGGTCATCCCCCCCCCCCCCACGTCCTACTGTTCTTCTCCGAATTAGTGGTGACGGGAATACGCCATACAGTGTCATAATATGAGGAAAATTGTGCCTGCACAGCGGCGCTAGAGCCCACCGAACTTTAATTTAGTATAACATTTGAATTGTTGGGCTTGGAAATTTGATTCGAATAGCAAGATCCTATTGTTTAGAATATAGAAATAGATTGATCATATTCTTTAGGAAAGTATTAATGGAAGAAAAATAAACCACATTGAATGAAAAAATGCTATTTAATGAATATATTCACTGATGTTTGTTTCCTTTTGTTACAGACTTATGCCATTTGGAGTTGGAAGAAGAATTTGTGTCGGTGAATCGTTTGCTAAATCACGTATATTTCTATATGTGACGTCATTGCTTCAGAAGTTTAACTTCCGACCAGATGGTAACCCACTGGCACCAGAAGACTCCAAACTATGGGCATCAGATGCTGCCATGCATCCTCCATTCCTGAAATGCATCATTGAACAACGCAAACAACCTGATTAAAAAACACAAATCCTTTTTCGTTTCGTTTTTTATAGTTCAAAATTTCGTTTTATATGTCTGTTCTACGAAAGCATAAAAAAACGAAACGAAATATAGATCTGTATTTTAATCAGATTGCAACGCAATTAACATAATGATTGTAAACTGGCCCTTCTTACTATTGTTTGGCTTTTATTTTAATCCCTTCAAGGGCCTGTCTTATTGTAATCGAATCTTTTGTAATGTACTATTGTAGTCTATAATTTGCACTCTTTTAAAATTTGCATCAGATTGCAACGCAAATAACATAGCCTAATGATTGTACACAGGCCCTTCTTACCATTGCTTGGCTTATATTGTAATCCCTTCAAGGGTCTAATTGTAATCGAATCTACTGTCATTATAAAAAAATTTAAAACAAAAAGAATCTATAATTTGCTTTTGATATGCATAGGCTATTTTATTTAGGGGGTGGGGGCAGCTTCTAAATCAGCTAATCTGTCTTACTATTGTTTGGCTTTTATTTTAATCCCTTCAAGGGCCTGTCTAATTGTAATCGAATCTATTGTCATTTATTAAAAAAAATTTTTAAAAAAAAAAAGTCTATAATTTACCTTTGATATGCATAGGCTATTTTATTTGAGGGGGGGGGGGGGTAAACGTACAGATTCTAAATCAGCTAATCTGTCACAAAGAAAAGTCATATGCTCTTCTGTTGTTCTGGTGAAAGAAGCAATGACACATACGTGGCACATTTTAAAAGTTATGCAATCATAATGGACCAGGCAGCCACGGTGACTCAGTGAGTAAGACGCTAACGCAGAACTCCCGATGTTCGCTAACGATCAAATAAAAATATCGTGGCGATTCCTTGTCAGTTGTGCAGGAGAGATGGTCTGGTGGGTAAAAACAGGAGGTCCCTTGTAGGCCTACACATTAGCGTGCACGTTAAATAATCCCTTGGCAGTTGGAATTCGATATAAAAATAGGCCATAGGGCCTCTGTACGGACAAAAGTTCTCGCATAGTACGCTACATGGCGTATGTCCGTCTTCATTATCCCAGTTGGAGCAGAACAGTAGAAATAAAGAACCATTATTGGACTGGTATTCCTATTATAAATTAAAGATGCATTATGTAAGATTCAGATAAAGAGTTGACAGTTCTCGCTATAATAGTCAAGAACTAGATAATGTAAAGGGATTGTCTTGAAAGTTTCAGTCAAATTACTTCTTTCTGAACGAAGTTATAGCTATTTGAAGAATATAGCGAGGTCTTGATTGTCATTGCTACCGTTGTTACGATAGTAAATAAAGCCTAGATGATCCATTTTTAAATTAAATTATTAACTGTCGATCTGGTTTCAAACCAAGATCGAGCATCCTATGGTGTAGGGAGTTGATTATGTTAATAAATGTCTAATTATTGAATTATATAACATTGGAATTCCCGAAAGAACGACATGGAGAGAGAGAAAGAAATGGGGTTTAACGTCCACTCGACACAAACCAGGTTATTTCGGGACTAACACATGGTTCAATTTTATTTCAATAATTCGCTTGTACGTAGGGGTCTTTCACAGTGGGAGGAAACCGGAGGACCCGGGAAATTGTGGGCTAGGTACATGTACTTGACTAGTACTGATGGTGATCTTGGTAGATATCTGCCACCATGCTGTAATAGAACTAAGCTCAGCTCAGCGATGCATACGTCCTGTAATTGCAAGATTTCTTTTAAATATGTAGGCCTATTTAAATCAGAAAATCAAGAGTCAAATGGGGCGACACAACTAGTAAGACATTTAATGTGGGTAATGGTGTCAAACAGGGTGGTGATATGTCTCCGATATTGTTTACGATTTATCTAGACGAGTTATTGTCCCGGTGTAAAAATAGTGGGATCAGCTGCTATATAGGTCAATTTATGTAGGCGCTTTAGCATACGCCGATGACATACATTACTTTTGTCACACCTACCAGACAAGCTCTTACCAAACTGCTAGACATAGCAAGTCAATTTTCTAAAGACTTTGATCTGAAGTTCAATCCAAATAAAACAAAACATTTACTATTCCCTTTTAATCAAAACTTTATCAACGCTGTTAAATATGTATATATGGATAGCAAGGTCATTAAGGTCGTGTCCTAAGATAACCACTTGGGTAGCACATTGAACTCAGTATCCAAATCTGAACACTTATTAAACTGTGTTAACAACTTTTTAGTTACAGTAAATGTAACCCTGAAGAATTTTAAATTTGTATCATCTGTCACTAAATATAAATTGTTTAAAACATATTGTATGTCATTATATGGGTGTCACCTTTGGGATTATTCTCATAAAAATATTCATTTATTTTATACAGAATGGCGTAAAAGTATAAGAAGATTATTTTGTATTTCTAAGCGTACACACAGTAATCTTTTACGTGCTATTTGTAATGATGTTCCTATAGATTGTCAATTACACAAGAGATTTTTAAAATTTTATTTTAGTTCATATCATAGCAGTAATAAATGTTTAAGCAAATGTAGTAAACATGCTCACACTGATCAGCAGTGAATTTTTGCTAGGACGCTACAATCACTGATAAGGATGATATCGATGCGACTTAATGAGCCAGAAATATTAACTTTTTTCCTGCGACAAATCAATTTCTAAAACATTTTTTTTATATATTGGAAAAATAAATAAAGGCGTTTGACGTATTTGTAGGTAAATTATTCCTATTTAGTGTAAATGGGTATTAAAATGACTAAAAGGCAGCATTCCGCCCGTTGCAGTAACCAATGCACGCGTCATTCAGCCAATGATTGACGCCGCGTGCTGTGACGTGTGTTAAGGCAGTCATCTTTGACAGAGATATTACTCGACTCGTTATTCTCTGTGAAACAGATTGAAACATTCTCTGTATGGAAGCCAGGCTACAGTCTCTAATAGTATCAATTTTATTTGTTTTAAATATAATTTATGTAAGTATGACCTGTGTACTTCTAAATTACCAAAAATCGCTAAAGCCATTTCATATCCATTTATTGATGAAGACGACTTTCAACTCGGAAACAGTATTAGGGAATTTATTACATATAGAGATAGAAACTATAATGATGCTAGAAACCTTGAAGAAATTATCAACTAAAGGTGTACTAATATTACATATACGTAAATAATTATGCAAATTATGTATTGTATTGTGTACTATGAGTACGAAATAAACAATTATTATTATTATTATTATTATTATTGGAATAAACAGACAACTTTATGGACAACATTCACTAGGTTTATTAACTGCAACGTTTCAATGAGGATAGGGAGCCACGTTAGCTAGGTGGGTAAGGCGCTGGCTCGCTAGCCTGGATGTCGGTTGTTCAATCCCTGCATTGGCCGAGAAAGTTCATCCCGATTTTCCAACGTGGTTTCCCCTTGTCAGTGATGCAGGACGGAGGGCCTGACAAGGACAGCTGTCTAGTCCTTCGGATGAGACGAAAAACCGAGGTCCCGTGTAAACATTGGAATGCACGTAAAAGATCCCTTGGCAGTTGGAATTCGATATAAGAGTAGGCGATAGTGCCGCTGCCCGGGCAAAATTTCCCTCATAGCACACTGTATGGCGTATGTCCGTCTTCATTAGCCCAGTATAGGAGCAGAACAGTAAGACGTTAAACCCCATTTCATTTCATTTTCAATGAGGATACTCTCACCGTTATCAAGCAGATAACGGTGAGAGTGTCCTCATTGAAACGCTGCAGTTAATAAACCTAGTGAATATTACCCATAAAGTTGTCTGTTTATTATATATCACGTTCACTAAATGCCTTTCAATGAGTATTGGAAATTAGTAAATTCACTTCTTCAAGAAGTAAACATGGGGAAATCATTTTTCAAAATTATTCCAACAAAAGACGTTTGAGAAAACTAGCAGTAGCAACGATATGAATATAAAAATGCTCATAAACTCCGCTACTTTAAAAAAAATTGTAAAATAAATCAAGTAATATCTGCTGAAGAGATACGCGCAGCTTTCAAAAAAAATAAAAGAAAAAAAGCCAATGACTCGGACCTAATTTTAAAAGAAATGCTAATTACACCCAATGAATATATGATTGACCAGTTTCTTAAACTCTTTAATGTAATACTTAAGTCAGGTACATTCCCTCAATCATGAATCTTTTATAAAACCAACTCATAAAAACGGAGACAAACTTGACACAAACAACTATAGGATAATAGTGGTATTGCCCTTGCGAGTTGCCTAAGCAAATGTTTTCTCTCAATAATAAATAAACATGTAACCGATAAACTGTAGCAAGTATGAAGAAATACGTAAAACCCATTTATACACACCCTTCTCAGTAAATCCTAAGATTTCCTACTTTTATTAATCTTTTTAACCCACCAAAATCGATTGCAAGGCAGTGGCTTTATATGTGTTTTGGCCTTTGATAAGAGATCTAAATCAAATTTGGTGGCAACTATATACATAAGCGTACGGGGAAATTTTTGACTGGGGGGGGGGCGGTGGTGGTTGGTGACAGGGGCGCCGAAGGGGCCCGTCGGTCGCCGAAGGCGACCCGCGTGCCGAAGGCGCGCCGCTGGTAGGGGCGTCTGGGAGGGTTCTCCCCCCAGAAAATTTTTGAAATTTGACAACGGGAAACGCGTTTTGCAAGCACTTCTGGGAGAAATCTAGGTATCATATTTTCCAAATTTATGCTGCTATTTTGACTATAAGACATACTACTGTACTACACAAGACACTCATGACAGGTCTGCTTAATATAATGCTAATACAATGTATTTCTATCCAAATAATAAATTGCATCTTATACATATCGAGGCATGAATACATGTATCAAAGACCATTTCACCTTAAGGTGACAGACATTTGCACGTCAGCATAATATATTTTACTAATCGTTGTGTATGTATGGTTTTTCGCGTGCGCACTCTCAATTTTTTGAGGGGATTCCGCGTGAAAATTAGAGCTCTCAAGGGGGCCCGCTTATACGGGTGGCCTTATTGTTTAATGGGGGCCTGGGAGGACACCGTCCTCCTAAACTCCCTGCCAGCACGCCCCTGGTTGGTGCCTAAAAAATGTAGTTAGGTTCTTAGTGTGTTACATAATAATAATAAATTCGCTGTTAAATTGGACACATTCAAGAACACAATATTTTTTTAATATAATTTTTACAAAGTATAATTGTGTGCCCAAATTTTCCCAGCATTTGGTGCCCAAAATAGGGGGGGGGGGCGGCCGCCCCCCAGCCCCCCTGGCTCGTACGCCTATGACTATATACATGTAACTGAACCCCTATACATGTAAATATACTGTGCTATACTGTTTGTATGAATATATTACTTATGTGTGTTCATCTAGCCTATGTGTTGTCTATGTAGTATGTACACGCCGTCCTTGACAGACGACTATGAAAAAAACGTGTTCTCTTATCCAGGGGCAATAGTGCTGTTCACTGTGTCGCTGCATGGTTCACCACACATTTGCAGCGAAAGTAGTCCATGAAACAAAATGGCCTTTGGCTTTGGTTTACAAAATATTTGAAAACTTTTTTCAGATTTCAAGTCTTGATGGT